ATCTATCTATCTATCTATCTATCTATCTATCTATCTATCTATCTATCTATCTATCTATCTATCTATCTATCTATCTATCTATCTATCTTTAATACCTCAGATTAGATTAGTGAATTGAGAGCTTTGGTTTAAGACTCAACTCTTTCTTCACCACGACCGACCAAAGCAACGCCCTCATTACTGAGGATGAAACCCCGGTCCATTGATCCATCTACTCCTCCATCCTACCGTCACTCACGAACAAGACTCTGACATATTGGAACGTCTCCGCTTGAAGCAGAGACTCGTGTAGACTTTAAATATCTCTTAAGAACGTCCGAATGAGACTGATCAAACTCTCGCTGATAAATTTGCAAGACAGACAAAAAATAATAATAAACCCCCACACACGTCTGAGTATATTCAATTCAGTTTATTTATATAACTCCAAGTCACAACAGAAGTCGTCTCAGGGCACTGAACAGAAACGTTCATGTATAAAAATAATAATTTAACATCATTTATCTGAGGAGCAGACTGCTTTTAATTTAACTTAATTGCAAACTCTGATCTTGAGCAAGCATGAAGGCGACAGCGGAAAGAAAAAACTCCCTCGTGACGAAGAAACCATTAGCAGAACCAGGCTCAGGACAAGCATCCACCTGCTTCGACCGGCTGGGTTTGAGAGGAACAGATACACAATGGCAGGTCAATGTAGGGGAATACCACCTCAGAAACAGTTCACCTCATCTCAAACAAACATCATTCGTGTGTTTTGAGCTGTTAAAAATAAGATATATCTATTCCCTTGGGAACAAACAGACTTTGCTTTACAGGTGTTCAACCCAGCACTAACTTAGTTGACACTAATGTGAATGTATATTAAAAAAAACCTGTTACTGTGTTAACCACTTTCAATATGAACTCATTTCCCACGAAACGGATAGATCGTTTTAACGAGAGCTTTTGGTTCAACCGACCTCAAAGCTTAGGAACATCCGAACTCGCTACTTTGATATCTTCCTTTATCAAAGAGGAGTATTACTCCCAGGATGGTTTCCCATGAAGATAACATTGTTAAAGAACCCTTTGTTTAAAATGACATTTTCTTCTCAGGAGATGAACAGCGACACGTTTTGGATGAACATTGCATTAGAACTGAATGTTTGTTTATGAAAATGTCTGTTTAAGTAATCTCTCTTTAAGATAATCAATTGTATTGTTTTCCTCTTTTTAAAAGAAGAGTGACTTTTTAAAGGCAGACAGAGAAAATGGACTTTAGATGTTATAAGACATGAAAGAGTTAGGACCATCCCTCTTCCGAGAGGTGGACCAAAGTCAATCTGTAACACACAGACAGTTAAGTTAAGTTTCACTTCTTCACTTGTGTTTCTACTTCCATTCTACTTCTACATCACATCTTCTACATCACATCTTCTTCAAGAACTGAACTTCAAGCAAACTTCAGAGAAGAAACTTCCTCCTAGTGAGATATCCTAGGAAGAAAGAGAACGAGAGAAGCAGCCTTTTCTGGAAACCCTGCAGAACCAGAAGCAGAACCTGGCATTAACCTGAAATTTGTTACCAGAGCCATCGCACCGCAGACTGGAAAAATCCCAGCTGACTCCCATATGGACCCTCATCCCTCAAAGATGAGAGGTGAACTTTGAGGAAAAATCAGCCTCTCAGTCACTAGAACATCTGGACTGGTACCATTTTTAAGCAGCTGTTGGACCATTCTGACCATCTCATTCTGGTAGGACAAGAGACGTTTAATGCCTTTCTGGTGATCATACATCACAATAATATTATTTATACACACTACAGTTAATTCAGACACAATTTCAACTACTCTGCAAACAGAACTAGTCCAAAATCTGCCTTTTTTAAGTTTCACTGATTTGAATAACCAACTAGATCTTTGATACAAAGCTATTTGTTATTCATTTGTGTATTCATTTTATGCATAATCTTCATCAGATATATCACAGATTATTATTTTTGCAATAAAATACATAAAATCAACTAAATTTGTGATTATTTTGGCATATCTGTGTGTATTAACTGATTTGATGCTCTTTTAAACACGAGAAAATAATTCACTAGAGCACAAAACTTGAGTCTGATTTAATAATTTTCTTGCTTAAGAACCAGAAAGCAAGTGGTGCCCCTTTAAAATAAAATTACTAATAAAATTCAACGATCTGAGGACCCTTTCCTCTACATCAAGAATCACATGTTAAGATAGAAATATATCAAATGAAAACTATTCAATTTTATTAATTCATTTAAGGAAATTAGGTCAATTTGTCCTCCAGTAGTCTAAGCCTATAGCAGCATAATGTCAGCCCTAACTATAGGATTTATCAAAAAGGAAATTCTTCAGCCCAGTCTTTAAACTGGACAAAGTGTCAGCCTCATGGACAGAAACTAGAAGTTGGTTCCACAAGAGAGGAGCCTGATAAGTGAAAGATCTTCCTCCCATTCTGCTTTTGGAAACTCTAGGGACCACGAGTAAACCTGCAATCTGAGAGCGAAGTGCTCTGTTGGGAAAATATGGAACATTTAGATTTTGAATATAAGATGGAGCTAGGTTGTTGAGAGCTTTTGTAGGTTAGAAGTAAGATTTTGAATCCAATTCTGGATTTGACATGGAGCCAATGGAGAGAAGCTAAAACAGTTAAGATTCTGGCAGCAGCATTTTGGATCAACTTTTTAAAGAAGTTTTTGGACACCCAGATTATAAACCATTGCAACATTTGCTCTGTTTTTTTGTAGGCGACAGGTACGTTGTGGCAGATTGCGGAGGAGGAACGGTTGATTTGACAGTCCATCAGATTGAGCAGCCACAGGGAACTCTTAAAGAACTCTACAAGGCATCAGGTACATTATTTACAATCCGTTCAGACGTGCTCTGCTCCAACAGTTTCCAACGCCGCTGTCTGTCTTCCAGGCGGCCCATACGGTGCTGTCGGGGTAGACCTGGCTTTTGAAGCCATGCTGTGCCAGATCTTCGGGGAGGACTTCATTCAGAGCTTTAAAGCCAAGCGGCCGGCGGCCTGGGTGGACCTCATGATCGCGTTCGAGGCGAGGAAACGGACAGCGTCGCCGGGGAGAGCCAACGCCCTCAACATCTCCCTGCCCTTTTCTTTCATCGACTTCTACAAAAGACACCGAGGGCAGAGTGTGGAGGCTGCCCTGAGGAGGAGCAAGTGAGTTGGGGTAAAAAGGTGACGTGACTGTGGCTTTCACAAGGGAGCGCTGGTTCTCTGTTTGTGTAAAAGTCCAACCTTCTCTCTCTGTGTGTGTCAGTATGAAGATAGTGAAGTGGTCGTCCCAGGGCATGCTGCGACTGACGCAGGAGGCCATGAATGAAATCTTCCAGCCCACCATCAGCAACATAGTCAAACACATCGGTAACTAGAGAAACTGCATTTTCTGCGACAATGCAGAGTGATTGCTTATTGCAGAAGAACTTGCTGAAAAACAGCCGAAATTAGCTAAAAGGCGTGCTGAATTGTAGCTTAAATGGAAGAACAAGCCTAAATTAGCAGAAGAAAGCGGAAAGAACACATATTTGCTGAATTGGGTTTAATAAGCAGAAATTAGCACAGAAATTATGAAATTAGCTAAAAAAAGATTAAATTAGCAAATAATTGCTGAAAATTAGCTGAAAAGGCAGAAAGAAGCTCAGACTACCAAAAGGAAGTGGAAAGAGCTGAAATGAGCTCCAAAAAGGCGGAATTAACTGAAAAAGCCAAACTTAGCATAAAACGGCTAAATTGTAGCTGAAATATTAGATAAAGCTGCAACAAGCCGAAAAACGCTGAAAGGAGCATAATAAGCTTAAATTACCACAAAGAAGTGAATTAGGTTGAAAGCAGCAAAAATTACCATGAAAAACTTGAATTTATCTAAAAAGGTAGCTGAAAATGTAGAACAAGCTTAAATTAGCAGAAGAAAGCAAAAAGAGCACGTTTGCTCAACTAGGCTGAAAGAAGCAAATGAGCACAAAGAAGTAGAAATTATCTGGAAAAAGCTGAAAGTGGCAACAAAGAGCTGAAAAGTAGCTGAAAAGGCAGGAAGGAGTTTAAACTACCAGAGAGCACATTTTTGCTGAATGAGACTGAAAGTAGAAATTAGTGCAAAAATGTGGAATTAGCTGAAACAGCTAAAATATGCACAAACCAGCTTAATACTAGCTGAAACAGCAGAATAAGCTGAAACTTGCAAAAACAAGATAGAAGCTGAAAAATGTTGTAGTTAGCAGAATTAATCTAAAAGGAGCACAAAACAGCTGAAATTAGCTGAAAAAGGTTTAAATTTGCACAAGGAAGCTGAAAGAAGCTGAAGCAGAACAAAATGTGAAAGGAGCAGTAAAAGGTTGTAAACGGATATAAAGATTTGAAGGATGTAAAATGAGCTCAATTCATTTTGAAAAAAATAGAAATAAAAAACGACAGGAAAGGCTGAATATTTCAAAAAGCTAAAGTTGCACCAGTAGCAGGATTGTCTTGAAAGAGCTGAATGTTGTGATTTATGATTTGGTGAAATAGAACAAAAATTGTGGAACGAGAAAGATGCTGAAGAACGTACGGCAGAAAAAGGATCACAGTTGTGAATGCTTCTTTTCTTCCGTTCGTTCTTCAGCATGTAACCACCCGTAGCTCCACAGTTTGTGCACTTTTTCAACAACTCCTGCATCAAAATGTTCAGCTCGTTCAGGACACTCCTGCTCTAGACTATTTGTGAAATGTAAACATTTTGAAATGTTGAGCTTTGTCCTCTTTTCAACTTTCACTTCATTTGTTGTTTAAAACCTTTTATCGCCTCGTTTTAGCTTTTCTTCTAGTTCAGCATTTTAAAGCTCATTTGAGCTTCTTTCTGCAAAATTCAACCTTTTCTGCCTTTTAATTTTAGCCCCACCCCTTTTTTATTTTAGCTAATTTCTGCCTTTTGTGCTTATTTCTAATAATTTCAACTTATTCTATTCCTTTCAGCCTTTTTCTGCTACATTCATCTTTTTTTTTTTTTGCTCATTTTGCTCATTTCAGTTTCATTTTGTTGTTGTTTTTGCTAATTTCAGGTTTTGTTGTAATAAATTTAGCCTCTCTCTGCTTATTTCATCTTCTGCTTATTTCTGCTCTATTCAGCCTTTTCTACACATTTGTGATGTTTCTCTGCGTTCGTTTTCCTGCTATCAGCAAACGTCAGCTGTTCAAATCCATTTCACGTTAAAAGTTTAGCAATTAATCGTCTTCAGCCTGGTTTCAGCTTCTTCAGCAGTTTTCAGCAAAAATTCATTCAGCAACAAGCGTTCGCTGCATTTTCACAGGTCACTCTTAATTTAAAAGGTTGACTAGTGCAAGTTTGTTTTTTTGGGGCTAACTCGTACGTTTTAAACTACCAACCTTCCAGAACGACCGTCTGCTGAAACCATTAACCAGCTGCTTCTCATTTCGTCCACTTTGGGACATGATCAAATAAAAGTTTGGTAAAAGCTGATGACAAAAGACAGAAATATGCCAGGGTCAAATCCGTGCATACCCGAGCGTAATGGCTTCCACAGATTTTGATTCTAGATGACGCTGACCTAATCTCGGGGGTTCTTCTCCACATAGAAGTGTGTTTTAAATCAGCCACATTCCAGTGGTCCATTTACAACCAACGGACTGGTTTTCCAGAATGTGAGTTTGCTGGAATGAAAGGTCAAAACGAGGGAATTTTAAGTGAAGCTGATGGAGGGAAACTTCCAAAACGCTGTTCAGCAACGGTCTCCGTCTTTCTTAACAGAGGAGCTGATGATGAAGCCGGAGGTGCACGGTGTGCGCTTCCTCTTCCTGGTTGGTGGTTTTGCAGAGTCGTCCATGCTGCAGAAAGCAGTTCAAAAGGCTCTGGGAAGGACGTGCCGCATCATCATCCCCCATGATGTTGGACTGACCATACTGAAAGGTGCCGTGCTGTTCGGGTTGGACCCCACTGTGGTAAGGGATCAGGAGCACCAGGTCCAAGAGGAGCGATTTGACGCGTGAGCTAACAGCTTTTTTTCTCGTACAGGTTCGGGTGCGACGATGCCCGTTGACCTACGGGGTAGGAGTCTTGAATCGGTTCCTTGAGGGACGCCACCCCCGAGATAAACTCCTCCTCAAAGATGGCCGCGAGTGGTGCACGGACATCTTCGACCGCTTCGTCTGCGTCGACCAGTCGGTAGCGCTGGGAGAAGTCGTGAGACGGAGCTACACGCCGGCTCGGGCGGGCCAGCGCAAGATCATCATCAACATCTACTGCAGCGCAACGGACGACATCACGTACATCTCCGACCCCGGCGTCCGGAAGTGCGGAACGATAACGCTGGACTTGCCGGAACCTCTGCCTCCACCTGGAGCGGTGGGCGGAGCAGGAGCGGAGAGGAGGGAGATCAGAGCCACCATGCAGTTCGGAGACACGGAGATCAAAGTCACGGCCGTGGACATCATGTCCAACCGGTCTGTCCGGGCTTCCATAGACTTCCTGTCCAACTAGGGAGCAACGGGAAGATTTGAAACTCATCTCTTATTTGAGACATTGTTTTTTTTTCATGTTCAGTGTCTTCAGATGAACAGCAGACACCTTCATCCAGAAGAAATGATCAGTTACAGTGGAGACTCAGATTTCCTACAAAACAACAACTTTATAGACAAAAACATGATCCAGTGTGTAAGCTGGAGGCGACACACCTCAACCTCATTAGTGCGTATTTCAGACTTTTCTTCCCGTATTATCTGAAGACCTTCAACAAGTATGCTACCTAGAGACGCACTCATTGTTAAATCCAATCCTTCCCCCTCATATCACTAATACCTCACTTAAATCCTGATTTTAAAGGTTTTACTGGGACTGAAACTTGGTTTTTCAAACGGTGTTGTGCTCCATCTAGTGGCAGGGACAGACCTTGAGGTAAGAAATCTCATGACATCACCAGAAAACTTGAATTTGTCTTCTCTAAGCCTTTTTTTTTTTTTTTTGACATACTGGAAATGCAGAATGTACTCGGGTAAAACTCTGGACCCTGGTTTTCAAAAATACAATTTCAAAGCACTTGAAAACACAGTTTTCATGTGGATGCGAGTCTGAAACAATCCAGTGTGGACAGGGTCTTAAACATTGGTTTGTAAACACACACACAAAATGTTGAACCTGTTTTAATTGTGAACGTTTGTGAAGCATTCACACAATTACGATCCATTTTTCTTCTGTATGTTGTTCAGCATCTTCATCGTTCCAAAATTTTTGTGCCATTTCAACAAATCATGAATCAAAACGTTCGGCTCGTTCAGGACAATCCTGCTGTGACTTTTGGTTTTGGTGCAACTTAAGCTTTTATAAATATTTAGCTTTTTCTGCCATTTTTTTCCTCATATAAAATTAATTGAGCTCATTTGACATCCTTCATATCTTTAGATCCGTTTACAACTTTTTACTGCTCCTTTCACATTTTGTTCTGCTTCAGCTTCTTTGTGCAAATTTAAACATTTTTCAGCTATTTTCAGCTGTTTTGTGCTCCTCTCAGCTAGCTACATTTTTGAGCTGCTTCTAATTTCTTTCTGCTAATTTCAGCATTTTCTGCTCCTTTCAGCTTATTTCTTCACGTTTCAACTTTTTTCTGCTTTCAGCTATTTTCATGCTAATTTTAGCATTTTCAGCTAATTCCTCATTTATTGCAATTTCAACTTTTTTCAGCTTAAATTCGAATAAATGTGCTCTTTTCACTTCGTTCTGCCTTTTCAGCTGATTTTTTGTTAATTTCAGCATTTTTTATATAATTTGTGTGATTTCTGCTGCTTTTAGACTCATTGGGGAAACACGTTATTTCTGCTAATTTAAACTTTCTCTACCCTTTCAGTTAACTTTTAGCTATTTTAGCTGTTTTCATAAAATTTTAAGTTTTTTGCAGTCACTTCAGCTACTTTCAGCTCATTGTTTTTTCTGCTAATTTCAGCTAATATTTAGCTGGTTAATGCTAAATTTAGATTTTTCAGCTAATTCCACTTTTAGCTCATTTCTACCATTTCCACTTTCATCTGGTAGTTTAGGCTGCTTTCTGCCTTTTCAGCTACTTTTCAGTCATATTTGGCTAATTTCAGATATATTTTTAAGCTAATTTCCTAATTTTGTGCTCATTTAAACTTAATTCAGCAAATGTATTCTTTGTTTTCTTCTGCTAACAGGCTTGTTCTTCAATTTCAGCATGTTTTTTTTTTTTCTTTGCTAATTTCAGCTGTTTCTCAGCAAGTTGTTCTGCAACAAGCTTTCACACTGTATTTTCGCAGTAAATGCAATTTCTCTAGTTTTGAGTTAAAACCGCCTCGTTACATTATGCCCCAAATGACCCTGAGGAGTGAGGGAAGGGAGTGATTTGCATTTGCTTTGATAAGTGGAGCAACACTGCAGATTAAAACGTTGAATTTTTCACTTCTTTACCTGCGAAAGCACCTTAGATGAGCGACAAAACAACTTTGAAAAATAAGAAAATTAATTAAACTCTTAGATTTTCCTTATGTCAACACCAGCCTCAGATTTTTCGTTTAAGAATTTTGAATCCAAACTTTGAGGAACTGAACTGTGTTCTCAAAGGATCGGTCCTAAAAGTACCTCAATTAAAAGCAACAGTAGTAATACCAGTGGTTCCCAACCCTGGTCCCTGAGGAACACCTCCATGTTTTAGCCGTTTTCCTGCTTCAGTGATTTAATTACTTTAAGTTCTGCCGAAGCCCGTTAGTCACCAAATCATTCAAAACAAGTGTCCAAGCAGGGAAATAGCCAAAACATGCAGGATGGTGTTCCTCAAGGATCAGAGTTGGGACCCCTGCTAAATACGGCAGATCCAGTTTGTAGTGCAACTTTAGGTAATTGACTTAGACCAGCGACTTTTTTAAATAAGCCTAGGAAGCACTGATTTTTTTTACTTCCCAGCATTAAAGCAAGTAAATCTAAATAAAGTTAGCCTTAAAGGCAAAACTTATTTTAATGAAACTGTACAATTATCAACTGTACTTTACAACTCTGTTGCTGAAAACTTGTTTGGTACAAAGAATTGAGAGAAATTTTAGGAATTTAAACGTTAAGTAGTGTGATCAGCTGAAGTGAAACTTTCTGATCATGACGCAGCACGTTCTATAAAATCAACACATTCTGATGCATTTAACTTTGTTTCCTGTAATAAACATTTTTATAATTAATAAAATGTGACTGTGTTGACTTTAAGCTTAGCTGTTTAAAAGCGAATATAAACTGTATAAATGTCACATTTAACCAAATATGTGGAGCACGTAATGATTTAAAGGTTTTATTCCCAGTTCGGCCACGTTGAAGAAAACCACACCATGAGGAGAATCATTCAGCTGTGAGTTTATTGATGAGTGGCCCAATAAATAACTTCACACTGCACCGCCAATAAACACGCCCAAACTGCTCGACATCTTTTCAGTGCTTCAAAACAAAACCAGGCAAGACGTTTCTGACGGGTACCATCGGGTCTCAGAGGCTAAGCTGGCCTGAAGGTGGCGGCTGAGTCACAAAATTAAACGGGGAGCTGCTGTTTGTACTGGGTTTTTTTTTAATCCATGCCTGTTTTACTCAGGAAGGTGGACTGCAGGAGAGCAGATGCTTGAAATGTTTTATTTACCGGGTCAAAGATGCAAATGGAAAAACAAAACACGAAACGTCAAAAAGTCCACAGAATCTAACGAACGTCTCCTTTTTTTTCAGCCATTTGCCACATTTGCGACTGGCGACTCATTTTACGCAGAATTCAAATCCAAACGCAGATGAACATGAAGAAATCTTAAGGCAACCCATCCGCTGCGATCTGCGTTTGGATTTTTTACCGTTTTAAAATGGGGGGTGGTGTATTCTTGCGGTTAGTGGGCGTGTGGTCTCCCTCTCCCCCTGCCGGCGCCCCCTGGAGGTCCATCCATGCTGCTGCGGGGGTTCTTGATCGTCTCGTCCACAGACAGGATGAGGCAGGCGGCCTCCGACGCCGCCGTCAGGGCGTTGATCCTCACGATCGACGGCTCCCACACGCAGGCGGTGAAGTTGTCGGCGATGTCCTCGTTGTTGATGTCCACGCCGTACCAAACGCCGCCCTGCGACGAGAGGCGCAACACGGGGAGTCAATCACGGTGGGCGTGACGCTGAGCTGAACCACGCAGACGGTTGGTTTCCTACCTGAGCGTGTTTGGCGCGCAGCTTGTTCAGGATGTTTGTGGCGTCGAAGCCGGCGTTGTCGCACAGCTGTCGGGGGATGATCTCCAGGGCCTTGGCGTACGCTCCGATCAGCAGCTGCTGCTTTCCAGGGATGGTCCTGGAGTAATCCCGCAGGTACTTGGACAGCTCCATCTCAATGGCCCCGCCTCCTGCCACGATGGAGTCGTTCTGGTAAGGAGTGAATGGAGTTAGAAGGATGCAAATTCAGCAGAACGTGGTACAGAACGAATATTTGTGCTTAAAATATTTTGTATTTGGAGCAAATGTTCGTCTCTGGTGTTCACTTGTTAAAGCTCACTGGGCTGTGACCATTTAACAAAGACGATACAAAATTTGTGATTTATTTTGTTGTTGGATAAATAAATATCCTCCGGTTACTCAAATAAGCCACTCTGAGGACACAAGATTTTTAACCAGTCTTTTACTTGCGAGGGCAGAGTTCACAACAGGTAAGTTGCATGCTCGTTCCCGTCATGAATATCTGCACCGGACAGTGAGGCAGGAAGTGTTTAAGAATACACGTCTGCCAGCTGTACATGCAGGCTTACATCAGCTGCTCTCCAAGCAGACCAAACACTCTGACCTCACACACATTGTTCAACGTTAATTTAACATTAGTTAGTGATTAACATCCACAAACCTTTACCTAAATTCCCAACTTTTTTTTTTTTTTGCATTCTCACTGATTTCTAAGCGTTTAAGACCAGCGAGCCGTGCACAGCTGTGCTTTGCACCGGCAACAAACGTTAACGACGGCTGTGACAACTCTACAACTTTCATAGAAAAAATAAGTAGTACAGTAATCCCTCGCTACTTCACAGTTCAACTTTTGCAAGTTTTCAACGATTGTCAACTTTAATATTACTCACGTGATCGGGACGCTTTGGGATTAAAAAGTTAAAAAAAAAAAAAAAAAAAAAAAGACTTCAGACAGGTGCCGCCATTTTGGAGTTTACTTTCAATAAGCCTACACTGTAAGACCAAAGAACTACATTACCCAGAATTCAATAGTGCTTCCGGCCACTGCTTTCAGTTGAAATGGAGGGAGTTTTGATCTGATCTGAACCCAATTAAAAAGTTCAGTCCTTATTCATAGTGACTTCGGCGCCAGGACTACTTGCAGCCCCATCGGTCAGTCTGAGCGCTGCCTGCCGGCTCAGGGAGCCTCTTGAGCGAGGAGGCATTTCTTTGGAAGTCCGGTGTCTTCTCCGGAGCTCATCCTGACTTGTTTCATCTAGATCCCTCTGGATTATTTGGACTCGATCGGGATCATTGTGTGGTTTTGTTCTGACTATGAAGGTCCGTCTCCCTCTAAAAGCGTCTGGTCATGGTTTTGTATCCGTTACTCCAAAGTGAACTCAACGCCCTAATCCATTAAATGACGTTTTAAAATTTGACAACTTTTGATATCCTTTGTGAAGAATCTCAAGTCAAGTTGCATTCAGGCCCATCCGGCCCCAGCCCGTAGCTATCATTTCCAAACCCGACCCGACCGGACAAATTAACAGTAATTACAGCTCTGAACCTGACCCCCCCCCCACCCCCCATTTTTAATTATTTGACTGCTTATTTAGTTATTAACGGTCGGCAGATGCACGCGGCTGAATAAAGAGGGCAGAAGATTGGAGCTGAGCGGGTGTTTGTCCTTTCATGGCCGTCAAAGTGCATTAAACCTGTTTCTGCCTGCATTCTGCATTATTCAGACATGGACCCTGCTCTGACATGTCTGCTTTGGGATCTCACCTGTTTGGGTCATCGGCCGCAAGTGTCCGCTGAGTGCAGCGGCTGAACGTCCATTTAGGCAATGGATCACTTCCTGGCAGTACCAGTAGTCCCATCTGAAGCTTAACTGAACTTCTGAGCTCGTTTAAGTCCGGTCAGCTCGCGGTCAAATGGCCGCGTGAGGCTGATGATTGTATGGCAAGCCATGTTGCCATATAATTGGAATGTCAGCCGCGCGCATCCACAATCAAAAACCCAACACCGGCACGGCACCACATATCCAGCACATTATTATGGCCCAACCCGGCCCACATTTGGGTCGGGCCAGGCCGGGCTTGGGTTAGAAATGACAGCTCTAACACAAATTCAACTCTTCAGTCAATAAAATCAGCTCAAGACAAACGCTAGAAAAAGGTCAGCGCAGCAACGATGTTGGGTTATTAACATGTTACGAGTGTTTTAAAAAGAAGCGGCGTTAACGAACCTTGATGGCTCTGCGGACAATCATGATGGCATCGTGCAGCGATCGCTCCGTCTCTTCGGTGAACTGCTCGGCTCCGCCTCTCAGGATGATGGTGCACGTCTTCGCCTTGGGGCAGCCTTTAAACAAGTTGTACCTGCGAGAAAACAACAAGAAGGTAAAGTTTAGACAGAAGACAAACACCAAACCCACGAGGGTTCGTGAAGAGATGGTTTGATTCTTATTACAGGACAAGTAACAAGATGGTGAAACAATCCGACATTTTAGGTTTTTATTTAAACTTCGGTCACAACGTGTTTGAAGACGAGCAGCTCACATCGTAAGGGTTAAAAACCTACTCTAACAATAAAATACTTAAAAAATAACAGACTTGCAGCCATTTTAGGCAAACCTTGAAAAAAAAGAGAGTGCACTTTCAGGCCTGATTGTGAGACGCCACTCATTACACGTGTTACAAATGACTATCAGCTACTACCACTGCAGATTTTAGCTCAGCATCTGTAAAACCGACTGAACTGCGTTTATTTTTGAGTTTGCTAAGGTTAGTTGGCTGTGGTGGCCATCTTGATATGGGCTGATGCTCAAAGGTAATCACTAAATCCAACAATTTTCAGTCAGGTCATCTGGACAGTTTCTTTTTTTTTTCTGAAACGTTTCACCTTCCATCCAGAAGGCTTCATCAGTCAAGGAAACAACAACAAAAAACTGATTCTTACCCCAAACAGCTTACTCCAAAGTGGAACAAACCATAAACTGGTTGGATTGTATACCTGGATTATTGAGCACGGACTATTTTTGGTAATCACTAAATATTTTATTTCAGTTTCATTGAACTATGTCCAGTTGTTCATGACATATTTAGCTAACACAGTTACTGCCAAGGTTTTGAGATAATGTGTTGCTCCAGATAATCCAGGTATCTGTTGAGGTTGACTCTCAGCCATTTTGATGGATATGGAGCCAACATCTGCTGTGAAAAAGGCCAAGTTAAATTCAATTTAAAAATATTTTATTAATCCCAAAGTGAAACTAAATGTTGCTGTAACTCATCCTGGTCTCATTAAAGAGTTGTTATAGATGCTGATGGATGTGGTCAGAAAGGATCCCCTCAGCGGATCTGAAGAATATGGCTGCAGATGCTGATTTGTCCACCCGGACACGGCTGGGCAGCAGGACCGTCTGAACGTCAACCAGAACTCCTCGAGCGGTGGCCACTCCTCCCAGCAGCTTGTTGAGCTCCTCGTCATTGCGGACAGCCAGATGCAGGTGTTGGGAGATGATCCTGGTCTTCTTTTTGTCACGAGCCGCGTTTCAAACAGCTGGGCAGATGTAGCTCCAGGATCACACTTGAGCACCACCACCAGATAGACGGAGATGCATCCATGGTACCTCCTTTTCAACTTATTTGGGGCTGTGGTTTATTTGAGCTACAGACATGATAATCAGCTGCTCCAAGTTATTAAAAAAGCACCCTATTGTCATGGTTACATTTCATAACAAATGTCCAAAAGTAAAGAGGTTTCAGTAAAAATCCTTCCAACTGCACAGCATCCGATACCAGAGGAAGTAATCATCCCCAAAAAAGTGATTTACATCCAGAAATAAATGGGAATTAAGAGTTTTCAAAAGCAAAATCTCAGAATGAAAGTAACAGAGTTACTCCAGCATGCAGACACATTTGAGTTTTCTGAAGTTAGTTGGTTGTGGTGGCCACTTTGAATTGAGTTTAGTCAACTATCTGTTGCAGGTCCAAGACGGTGGAATGAGTTACCACCGCATGTCAGGCAGGCTCCCTCTCTCACTGTTTTTAATCTCGGTTGAAAACTTTACCTATTTGGATCAATGTATTTTATCCTGTGTCCTTTGCTTGTTTGTTTCAGCTGTACAGCACTTCGGTTGGTCGTGCTGTTTTAAATGCTTTATAAATAAAGTGGTACGGTACTCTGTGCAAGTAAAATGCTTTCAGAGGTTAACGAGACATTAAAACGTCATTATTCTCCCTCTGCAACAAAAGGCTGCAACCAAATTCTGTAACACACCGACACTTATTTCTGTAGAATAAAGTCTCTAGCCCATTTCTAATGCTCCCAAAAGACATGGAGCAAAAACGGTTTAAATTGTCTTACCTGTCTCCTCCCACCTGGACCTCTTCAAACAGCTCACACTGTCCCAGGACATCATCCGTCAGAGCTCCTACAGACGTCTGGATGGAGCCTCCACAGGCCTGACGGTCACATCGGAAAAACATTTGACTGCTTTTATATCAGCAGATATCGGAGTTGCATTCACTCCGAGTCAGCATTTTTTTTTTTACTGAATAAACAGCAGAGATCAATCTAAAAAAACAACGTTAACATTATTTTAAAGTTTAGATTCATCAGGTTTTCTTACCATCATGGTCCTTTTCAGATCCTCCTCCTGCACCCGGCCGGCACAGAACAGGTCCCTGTCGGCAAAGTACTGGGTGGCCACATCCCCGATGGGCAACTTGGACAAAACCACCTTGGCTCCTGAACGATAGATCTTCTCCAGTTTGTCGTACAGGATGTTCCACTCTGCATCCACGATGGCCTGGTAGTCCTGAAGCAAAGGATGGACAAACATCAAGATTAGAAAAGGAGAGACAAAAAGTCCAGTTCGCCGCGTTGAAATCTCACCTCCACTGATTTCACACGGACTTCGGCGTTGTCCTTCTCTGCCTTCAGCTCCAGCTCCACGTTCAGCAGAGCGATCTTTGGGTTGTCGTAGCGTTTAGGTTGCATTTCAAAGCCGGCGTAGGAGAAGGTTTTCTTGAAGGCAACCCCGTCGATCAGCTGGGATTCCTGACCAGAGACGGGAAAACGCAAAACATTAAGTCCATAATCTCCAGATATTACACAGCAAACGACAAGACTCAAAGACCAAGAAATAATAAATCATCTGTGTTTTTTACACAAACATTAGGCACTAGATCTCAGCTAAACCTGTTTCTTCTATCTGTATCTGCACCAACCTCGAGGGCTCCTCCCTGGACCTTCTTAATGCCGATCATCTTCAGAGACATCAGCTCGTCCAGAGAAACGACAGCGTCCACCACCATTTTGGAGAAGAACTCCTTCTGCCCGGCGATCAGCTTGGAGTTCAGCGCTGTGGCGGCACATTTCTCCAGCAGCTGCCTCTGCTCTCTGAGGAGACGCAAACACAACATTCACGATCCAACCGTACGGGAGAGGAGCAGATCTCAGCGGCAGAGGGAGGGAGACGCTCACTGCTTGTCGTCCTTCTTCACAGAGACGGCGATTTCCTTGATCTTGCTGACGGCGAGGTTGGTGGCTGTGCGGAAGGCTCTGATGATGGTCTGAGGGTGGAGGCCCTCCTCCACGTACGGCTTCAGCTGCTTCAGGAACTCTGCGGACAGGAGGGTGACGGACGTGGTGCCGTCTCCGACCTGCGGATTGATTCAGGAGCAAAACGAAACGAGTCCATTTGAATTTTTGTAACAGTGTACGGACATTTACTCTGCTGGCGGACACACAGCTCACCTCGGCGTCCTGGGAGCGAGCGATGTCCACCAGAGTCTTGGCTGCAGGGTGGACGACGTCGAGGAGCTTCAGAATGGTGGCGCCGTCGTTGGAAATCGTGGCCTTGCCTGGAAAAACACGATATAAACAACAAACCTTCTAACATCCAAGCTTTTTTCGTACGTCGTTATAATCCCGTCTCTCCTCACCCCTGTTGTCCACCATCAGTTTGTCCATCCCCCGGGGACCCAGGGTGGTCCGGACAGCCTCAGCAATCACCTGCAGAGAACACACCAGATGCATTCAGGGACTAAAGCACTTTTCAGACATTATTTCAAAAGACGATTCAGAACAGAGTTCAAGTTTTGCTCAGATACTGGAGAAGTTGTTCCTCTAACTGCAGGTAAAACCACCTGATCAGTAAACCGACATGTCTGTGTGTCCTTTAAGCTGCAGAAGTTCGCTCGTGTTGAAATTGTTACGCGACAAAGAGAAGCGCCGAGATGAGAGACGCACGAAACAAATTTCATTCGGGGTAATTTCTGACAACGAAAGGGTGAAATGCATTTCCGAACAGGGGCTTTAATAAACAGCTGCCATGTGTATAAAGCAAACAAACGTGAGGACAGATTCCAGACCTGGCAGGCATTGATGTTGCTGACGAGCTGGGGAATGCCCTGCGATGTGTCTGTCCCCTCCTTCAGCAGGATAACCGGTGTGGGCTGCAGGAAAAGAAGAAACACTGAAAATAAACTTCAGCAGACGTTGTGAATGCTTCTCGGCTACTATAACGAATTTTAGCTCAACATCTAAAAAGAAAGGCATGAATCAAAAATAATCTGGGACTAAAGGATGAGTTTATCACAGTCCAAGTCTACAAACTAACAAATATAATCTTAGCAGAATGCAATTAAAAGTTTTAATACAGGAAATCCTCTCTGTAAAAAAAAAAAAAAAAACAGATTTGAAGAACCCTACACAGTTTATTCATAATTATGAATAAAAACAATTCAATAAGTAATTGTTGTAAATTATTTTCTACAAATATGCACTTCTGCAAATCATGTGTTCATAGACAAATGACAATTTAACTAATTTAACAACATATTACAGTACCACATTACCTTCTTATGGCCAAAATATCCCGTTTCTAACCAGTAAATGTGTTAATATTTTTAGCTTATGTGCTGCTTAAACACCAAAATTAATAAAATAAATAAAATGCCCGGATGTCTAATTTAACCTGCACGTTTTAACTTAAAATTAATCTAAAATTAACCGCAAATGTAAGCAGGCTTTAATTAAATCAGAGAAAATGCATTTTAATTAGGACACACATAGTAACGAAGCTTCCTGTTAGCTATTGAATACATCATGTATGTATAATCACAAAACAAACAAAACCAACATAAAACATAACCTTAAACTCTTCAAAAATAGTCGACTAAATTTGTCAATTGCTTATAGTTATATTTATTAAACAAAGTGGCATCGCCCTAATCGCCATACGCCCATTGATTACAAGATGCTAACCGAGTTTGGCTAACAAACAATATAACCTTTTGAAGAACTTTACATAAAATAAAAGCTTTTCAGCAAGGCCAAAAGCCTGTTTAATCCAATGATAGATATTCCGGCACAAATGCGGACAGATAAATCAAAGGATGGAGACGGATTATGGATGATTTCGGAACGTAAATGCTAACTCACTCACCATCATCTTTGCGGTTCTTTCGAGAAGCTTTTAGCCGGTTTACAATCCCACAATGCTTTGCGACGGCTTCTCTTCCTTGGGGTGTGTTCAAGAACAAACCGCCGTTTTTTCCACTAGCGACTTAAATTTTTTAACAACAAAAAATGTTTGTTTTTACGCTTTGTTAAAGTTGTCTGCAACAACAAAAAAGATTAAGTAGTATTTCGAATTATGGCATCAAATATATTATAATAAATATAATTTGTATGATGCGCTTGTTTTTTATTATGTTTTGTTTAAAAACTGTTATAATTACGAATTTTACTTAAATTCATTCAACCTTTATTTAGACAGGTAAATCCCATTCATTCATTCATTCATATCGTTAAAGACATTGTATTCGTGAATAATTGTCTGGTACATTTTCCTTATTTGTCAGCAACTAAAAATTAACTTAAGATGTCAAAATTTACAAGTTAAAAAGTTAAATTATCTTCATGTTAAACAGACCTCGCAATGTTCTTGAACGCAGCTTTTAGAGCCACAGAGGCCAAGCTGGACAGCGCTTGATATGTACACAGGGGTGTGCAGCACGGGCGGAGATGTCGCTCACGCCACATGCGGCAAACGCGTGCCTCGCTTTCGAAGACACGCTGAACAGTAAAACGCGCGCGCACAATCTTTTACTCAAGAAACTCGCGCGTAGTTTAGAAAACCGTACACACGGCGCAGGCGGGAGCGAAGCTGCTGTGTTGTTTAACGTTTTAAACGCGTTAAAATAAATAAGAGCAGCGAAAGACTTCGGGAGGAAATTGTGAAGATGGAAGAGTTCGGAGTTTACGCTGTTTTCGGTGTAAACTGTCCGCCTCAAATGCTTCTAAGGTAGTATTTATCGCTGCTGTAGCTCGTCACTTATTCTCAAACGCGCCGTATTTACAGATAATATACTATAAAACGCGTGACAGTGAACATGCTTATGTCTGGTGTTGTTTTTTCTGAACGATAAGTTAGTGTTCCTGTCGTTTTTGGATGTTTTTCCTTGTTCAGTTCGGACGCGTCGAGCAGCGTGTGTGTTGCAGTTCCCCCATCTGTCCGGCAGGTGGTGCTGTTCAGCAGCGGCCCGTGGGAGAAGAGGATCTGCGTCCACGTTGGGCTGAATGATGCTGATGGGATCCCCATCACTATAGGAAAACTGACTCCTTACAACAAGTATGACCTCTTTGACCCAAGAAATACTGTTTGTCTCTCTTGACTGACACTTGTAAATTACAGGCGCTCCAGTAGCAGCAGGTAGACCTGAGCAAACATGCAATTTTTAGGTTTAAGGTGTAGTTATAAACAACACCCTGGCAAAGAAAGTCAAAGATGCATTTTTAAAATTACCAGTTTGTGCATCTTAATGTTCTTCCATCCTCTGATGTGCACAAAACAGCCCAAACACATGCAGCTTGTTTCCTTTTGCGTCCACCGTTTTATTGTTGGCTGCCAAAGTTGTTGGCGTTAGCAAAATATCATACAAACAGGGAGGATTTTAATGAAACTCCCAGGTAGAAGTTATACGTCTAAACCTAAATGACCTGATAAGTCAGTTCAAGAAGTATCTGAGAGTCATCTTCAATGTGAATTTTTGTCACGTAACCGAATCAGTGAGACGCAATGTCTTACTTCACATGGAGTGTAAACCAGGCCGGCCTGAAACCTGCTGGGTGATGCGCCTTCCTTCAAGGAAAAACAAGACTATATTTATCAAAAGAGTCGTTAAGATGGTGTAAAAACAAGGACTAAGAGCAATCATTGAATGCTATAAAGGCTCTGAATACAGCTTGTGTTAGTTTTAAACTCCCAAGTGGTCAGTCAGAACTGAAAAAATAAAATAATAAAGTAAAACTAGAAAGTTCCTGGATAAACTTTGACTGGGACTGCCACGCTGCTGCCAATTAAATTTTTTGATTTGACCGCACTTTGTGTTGGGGTTCGCTCTCAGCTACCACTACACCAGATTTCAGCCGAATAGCTCTAAAATTGGCTGAGTTATCCTATTTTTATACCCTTTTAGCTAAGGCAGCCATCTTGGATATTTGATTTGCATTAGGAATGTATAACAACTCACTCTCAGCTACAACCATACTAAATTTCAGCTCAGTGTTTCAACTATTGACCGAGTTATAGTCAACTTTGTGTTTGCTGTGGCAGCCATCTTGAATTAAAATGGCTACAACGTTAATCAGTTCTAGCGATACATACGTTCTTTGAGTTTCAAACAAATCCAACAGTGACTCTTCAGGGACCTCTACATTATGACCTCACGGCAGCAGTTTGTGTGAGAAATGTTCTGTCGGGTACTTCGTATGGGGGGAAAAATGGCGTCTTCGTTTGCAGATGACGTCGCCATGGTAACCTTGAAACACCAATAAAAGTAATAGCACACGTCACGGCACCGAGCCGGTCGTTTTGATATAACATTTATTGGGGTACTGTACACGCTGCGGTTCGGGCCGCATTAAAGTTGACAGAAGCGTAAGATAAAGTTAAGAAACCCGGAGTCAGGTGAATAATAATAAGAGCCTGCCTTATAATAGGCGATCCCCATTAAACATCTACTGGTAGTTGCTGTTTTTAACTGGAGCTTTATTGAATGAGTGAGGAGCCGCCCCGACTCAACATTCTGGATTATTACCTCTTTGATAAAAGACAAACGTGAACTGTTTGGATTTACCGGCTCACGTTTGACCTCCAGGTGTTTGACGTGGGAGCAGTGGGAGGAAGAGACGTGGACAGACGGCGTCACGCTGAGCGTTTCACTGGAGGGAGGACACCCGGTAACAACACAATCTGCCTTTAATGAGTGCAACTTGTTTAGGTTAACAAAGCGTTTATTACGAACGGCTGTTTTAAGTTTAAAGACGCGTTGCTCGATTTATAATTTAAAAATAAATGTTGCTTGTTGCAGTGTCCTTGTGTGAACGACGAGAGGTGATTTTAAAAGTAAAGCTGTGAATCAAAAAGACACGTCCCCTGCGTCCTAACGTTGAGGACGCTGGCTTTAAAGCAGTTGTCTTTTTTTCAGTACGACTAGATTAAATTTATCATTTTAACTCTTAGTTTGTCAAAAACAATGTTTGTTTTTAAGTTTCTGAGGTTTTATTAACACTAAATCGCAGCGGAAAATGAAAAACACACACCAAGCAAAAGTTAGGACTCGAGATGATAAAATTGTCTGGCCAGGGGCGGGGGCACCAAATTATTTGAGGTGGCTATTGCTCTCCCTGGCACCCCCTTGGTGCCCCCCCCCCCCCCCCCCCCCCCCTGCTGCCAAAAGGTAAAGGGGGCTGCATTTTTTTTTTCTTGTGTCTGCTACTAAAATATCTCATGAACCACTAGACAAATGTAAAACTTGCTCAAAGTACAGTAGCCCCTCGTTACTTTGCCATTCGAATGTCGCGGACTCGCACTTTCGCGGTTTTTCAAAGTAAGAGAGTACATGACGCACATTTGGCTGATTGATGGATGAGCCGCACGATCGGCATGGATTGTTTATTTAAAACAAATTACTTTAATGATTCAGCACCTTCTAAATCATTAGGTGCAGGGAGAAGCTCCCTCTGCAGCCTGTCATGATCTCCACTCTCTGCCACCTGCGGCTCTGCCACGCCCACATTCCTCCTCCGCGCTGCACAGATCGCCTTTTGTTTTCCAACTTAAAATTCAAGGCGCGTCACATCGTAAAATTGTCATAATCACAAAATATAACCGTGTTAAAAGTTATTTTTAATTATTTTAGAACTTCTACGTTCAGTGGTTACAGTGTAATTGATCAAGGAGTACATTTCTGCTCCGTGTTGCGTCAGCTGTGTGAAGGGCAGACGGTCCCTTTTAAGAAATCAACCGGTAATAGTACTGCGACTCGGTAGTAATTATCCTTTAAATATATTAAACAAGTACTCGTCTTAATAAAATAAAAACATACATTAACAGAATAAACCGTTGAATAGGAACGTTTTTATTTATTTATTTATAATATAAATTTGGCTTTGACAAAAAAAATCTATATGTGGCAGCGGTGGGATTCGAACCCACGCCTCCGAAGAGACTGGAGCCTTAATCCAGCGCCTTAGACCGCTCGGCCACGCTACCTCATGCTGCTGCAAGGGGAAGCTTTACAATACAGTACAGCTAAATCCATTAGTTGAATACAGTTTTTGTCCTTGTCTTTATTCGGTCTTTATTATATTATTATAATTTAAAATTTTGACGGAGGATCTTGTTGATTAATAACTACGTCGACGCTAAATTTAATGGACTATTTTGTTTTTGTCTCAGTAAAAACAGTGGTTTGTGAAACTCCATCTGCTGATCTTATAAAATGATTTTGAGTCAATATTTGCATATTAGACCAAATGAGCCCACAAAAAACTGAGGAACAATTTGATCTTTGTACTGTCTTTAAAAAAAAAAAGCTACCAAAACTACCGTATTTTTCGCTGTATAAGTCGCAGTTTTTTTACATAATTTGCATACGTTGCAAATTATAGGCTGAAGCGACGTATTTATGGATATTTTTCCCCTCATATTTATAAACCAATTGTTGGCTGCAATATAACCGTTTTCATTCATTCTGACTGGAAAAAAAAATGGAACAGTACCACTTTCAGCCACTTGATGGCAGCAGAGCAGTAATAGTTGTATGGCATGTCGTTGTATCATGTAATAGATAAACTAGGCTATAATGACAAATTCAAAAAAGTTCAAGACAAAAAAAAAAAGGACTTTATTTATTATACTTTGTTGTTTTTTTTTTTTCTTGAACTTTTTTGAATTTACCATGTCCTGGATGACTAAGAACCTTCACCAGCTATTAATGACACAATTGGCTTGCCATATAACCCCCACCTTCGTTCTGCTCGCTGCTTGGAGCAAGTTAAACCAGCTGCACCGCCCTGGCGAAATGCAGCTAATTTGACCATCGAAATGCATTTATTAAGTAAAAGTTCAACTAAGATACACCTTTCCTATAATTTAGAGCAAACGGATGTTTTTAGGTGGTGATCTTGTGAAATTTGCACAGCGACTCGTCGCATGCACACGTTTACTTCCGCGTATCGGCTTTTGAAATGCAGCTGATTTGACTGTTAAAGTGCATTTATGAAGAAAACGTTAGACTGAGTCACACCTTTGCTATAAATTCGAGCAAACAAACAATTGTTTTTAAGTGTTAATCTTGTTAAAATCCTCTCCTGCACGCTCCTGCCGTTTGGCAGCCAATCGATTTTTGGCACAACACCGCCAACCGGGTTGTCAGCGGTGACGCGTAACAGATGCGACTTATACGGCGAAGCGACGTATTTATGGATTTTTCCACTCTATTAGACATATTTGGACCAACTCGACTTATAGGGAGGTTCGATGTGTACGGCGGAAAATACGGTAACACCATCGAATTAAAACTGGTGGTTTTCAGACGTCCCAGTGTGCTGTCCTACTGCGCTTCTCTTCTCTACAATTTAAATTAAAAACAAACAATCCATGGATTTTTTAATTTAAACTATTTCAGTATTTAAATTTAAGTAGTTTATTAACACAGAAGGAAGGAGCAGGTGATGAGTGTGGTTGCAGCAGAGAAGTGGGCGTGGCAGAGAGCGGTTACCATGACATCCTGTGCTTTTTTTTACAGCGTTTAGAAACATTGTTTAGAATATTGCAAGAGTGTGGGAAGGGTTTATAAAGCCTTAATTTATATATAAATACTAAAATAAACTACTACTTTGTAGTAGTACGGCAAGTACTTTTGTACTACTATCCCTACTTTGCGGTTTTTCACTGATCGCGGGGGGCGTGGCCTCGGACTACTCATCATTGGTCGTACGTTTACACCTGATTCAAAATGCTAGTCGACCTTAGCCGACACACATCGGCTAAATCTCACTTGACTTGACAGATAATGTGGATATTCTGCACTGGTTTAGTTTAACTGGAGTGAAACAAGTTTTCGTCTCGTGAACGTCGTCCTTCAAGACCCGGCAGCTCCCGTCACAGCTCGGGAGCTCAACGGCAAGAGGAAGAGAGAGCGGCTGGCAGAGCGTGGCGACGGCAGTAAGGTGCCAAAAGCAGGAGAAGAAGAGAACGTGTGTCCAAACAGTGGGACGGAAAAGACCTCGTCCGTGCACAAGGTCAGAGGTCAAACCAACAGCAGACAGAAGCTGTTCGCCAACGGAGCTGAATCCTCCAAGACAAAAGCAGCAGGTGAGGACAGAGGACTCAGTTCAGGACTATTTACACCTAAGAGACATTTTAGGAAGGAGGTTTACCGGAAAGGATCAAACACTTCCTAAGATCGGCTGTCCTCGCTGCAAAGTGAGTCTTGTTGCATCTTTCAGCTTCGGTTCTCTCTGTCCTGTTTTACAGGTAACGACGCAGGAGAGACACAAGGCATTGTGGGAAAAACGCCTCCTCGGGGCTCATCCAGGACCAAGAGTAGGCAGTCAAAGACTCCCACGCAGACCGGTGCGTTTCTGCAAACACAATGTACCATTTACCGTAGGGTTGAATCACGTTTAATCGTCTGACATGTTTGTGTGAGGTGACGCCTGTTTTTCACACGTGTGGATTTTATAACTAATATATGATTTTTAAAAAAGTGACTATTTCAGTTAAAAACACAGACAGGATTCACCATCTGTCCTAAGGTCTAAACAGTAAAGCAGGATTAGTGTTTGATCGAGTTAACTTCAGGTTTAGTTCAAGATTTTAAGCGTTGTGACGAATAAACCTCAACATGGCGTCAAACCTGAGACCTCCACCTGCATACAGCAGTCCCTCACGTATCGCAGGGAGTTACGTTCCGCTTCCTACTTTACGTTTGGCTGCCGCGGGAGCGTGCACTGGAGGACTTTGACAAGAATTTAACAAAATTAACACTTAAAAACAATTATTCGTTTGCTCGACGTTATAGTAAAAGTGTGTCTCAGTTGAACTTTTACTTAATAAATGCACTTCGACCATCAAATCAGCTTCATTTCGCCGGGGTGCCGCAGCTCCAGGCGAGCTGGATGAAGGTGGAAGCCTATGGCAAGCCGATTGTGTCATTAATAGCCACTTTTACTTATTACATGACACAACGGCATGCCTTACAGCTCGGGTGCCATCTAGCGGCTGAAAATGGTAGTGTTCAATATTTTCAGTCAGAATGAATGAAAACGATCAGATCTCTGCCAAAAATTGGTTTATAAATATGGAAAATAATCAATAAATGCGTTGCTTCGGCGTATAAGTCGCAGGGCATGCAAATTATGCAAAAAACTGTGACTTATAGGGTGAAAAATACGGTATCTTCCCACACTCTTGCAATGTTCTTAACAACGTTCTAAACTCTAAATGCTCTAACAGAGCTCAGTGTGTCACGAACGCCACTTTCTGCCACGCCCACTTCTCCACTACACTCATGCTCATCACCTTTGTCACTCCCGATGTTCCTCCTGCGCTTCTGAAGCGCTCCCCAGTCTCTGCCAGATTGTCCGATCGTCTCGTGCCTGAAGTATCCAGCATTCTTGTTCCTGACCCACTTCATGACCCTTTGCCTCGCCAAAGACTCATACCCATCGAATATCTGGACCTCGACTTCTGCTCTGCCTTCAGACCACCAGTTCCTGCTGAACTCCTGGGATAAGTTTAGCTTTTTCTGTCTCTATATGAATGACCCACTCCTATATTTTTGACCACAAACTCAGACCCAGACTCCAGGAGTTGAGCTGTCAGAACCAAGCTCCACATTCTGAGGAGAGTCTTTGTCGGACCTTCCAGGTTACGCTCACATATCAGGTCTCTTGTAAATAGGTCCTCGAGGCTCAGTGGGATTAACCTGTCTAAATAAAGGTTGAATGAATATCACGTCCAAACCTCCTTTCCCTCTGACGTCATCGCAGCTTCGGCTTCTCCACCTGTGATTGAGCTCTACAGCGTCTCAGCTGACTTTCTCCTCCTGATAAAACTTTAATAAATATTTTTCCTGTGTGTGGTTGAATTTTCAGTTCCCCCTCGTAATTCATTACACAGCAAAAGAGAGCAGACTGATGCACAGGGGCGGACTGGCCATCGGGAGTACTGGGACATTTCCCGGTGGCCTGGCCCGCTCAGTGATCTCAGTGGGACTGGACTAAAGGCAGCTGAGTGAAGCTGACACCCCACCCACTTCCAAAATTAAAGCAACT